CACATCTGCTGACACAAGAAAGACTGTAAGTAAATTTTAAAGCAGACAGAGCTGATCAGGAGGATAAGATCTGGATTGAATTTTAACTTTAACTCATGAAGAAATATTGTCTTCTTCAGTTTCTATTTTAATGATTGGAATGAGAGGAAAAATGGCGGAGGAATTTTGCTTCTTTGTCTGAGGACTTTCACTTTTATCTTGCAACAAAGTTTCAGAATAATTGACTTTGTTTCTTCCCTTTATGGGGGGGGGGTTGTTTTTATTACCCCTTTATTTTATTTTGTTATAAGAAGTGACTTTTTTCTTTTTTTTTCTTCATCTCTTTTTTTTTCTTTTTCTTAAAATGGCTTCAAAACGCCCTGGAATTTCTTCTCTGCCTAAAGTTTCAATTTCTCCTCCAGTAACACAGATTACACAGCAAACTAAGCCAAAATCTCCACTACCCTCCCCATCTCCAGCATTTACACTTAAAGATATACAGAATGTTGTCCAGGATTCTTTGGAGAAAGCTGTACAAAAGATTAGGTCTGAGACAGAAGAGCTTTTGGAGCAGAAAAATCATCAGATGAGGAAAGATATTTTGTTGGCTCTTCAGGGGCTTGCGGCCCACGTAGAAAGACTTGATGAGAGGGTGGATGAAGTGGCTGGAAATGTTGAAAGATTGGAAGGAAGAATTGAAAGAGTTGAAAATAATGTGGATGCAGCACAGAATGAAATTGTAATGTCACAATATGGAGACATGGAGTTTGCTTTGAGAATAAGAGGGTTGAAGGAGAATGTGAAAGAGAATTTGAGAAAAGAGATTGCTGCAGAACTGGCATCCATTTTAGGATGTGGAATTGAAGAAATGTTGGGAGATATTGAAAAAATCTTTAGAGTTAATTCGTGGATTGCGAAGCAGAGAAATTTACCAAGAGATGTAGTTATCTATTTTTCTAGAAGATCACTTCGTAATGAAATTATACAAGTCTTTTATAACCAAAGATTTCAAATTGCAGCTCAAGATGTTATAATTTTAAAAGAAATACCTCCCAAAATTCTTAGAAGAAGAAAGGATTTTGCTTTTTTGGCTGAGGAGCTCAAGAAGCGGCAAATTCAATTTAGATGGGATGTACCTGTTGGCATAGTGGTGAATTATGTTGGAACACGTTATAGATTAAATACAATTTTAAAAGCAAGAGAATGTTATGTTTCTGTGCTAAAAGCAGGTGCACCACCGTCTCCAAGATCTAGAAGAAATGAAAGTAAGTTTGAAGGACAGTTGGCTGCAGGAGCTAGGTCACCAACAGGAGAAGAGTTGTTGGTTGAATCTATGCAACAGTGTTTGGATATAAGAGAAGACCCAAGAGAACAGAAAATGACTCGCGCAGCTTATAAACGTAGAGAAAAAGAACAACAAAAGGTAGATTCTGGAGTTACAACACAGGTGGCTATCTCTGAGCCAGTGGGAGGAACAAGACCGAAGAGGTCCTCAACTTCAGATTTAGATGTAGTGTTCCAAAGGCTTCAAGCCATGAGACATGGCAAAGTTTCTGACATGGAATGTTAATGGATTGAATTCATCACAGAAAAGAAAGAAAGTATTTTACTATTTGAAACAACACAAGAATGATGTTATATGTTTGCAAGAGACTCATATTGCTTTAAAAGATGAAAAATATTTGATTAACTTCCAGCTGGGAGTACATTTCACAGCCTCTGCTCCGCAGAAAAAAGCAGGTGTAGTTATTTATATGAGGAAAGACTTATCACCAAAGTTAATTGATTCTGACCCACTAGGAAGATATGTTATGATTGACTTATTATTAAATGGCAAGAGAAGTCTTGTCATTGGATTATATGCTCCTAATCAGCAACAAAAACATTTTTATAAGATGCTACATCAGAAGATAATTCAATTGGATTATAAATCAGTAATTATGATGGGAGACTGGAATGGCATTTTAGATTCAAGTAAAGACAAGAAGGGTTCTTTTAAATCTCCTAAGCATGCAAAATTACCTAAAGCCTTTTTGATTTGAAGGATGATTTGGAACTTCGAGATATTTGGCGTGAATGGAATATGGAAGAAAGAGACTTTACCTTTTTTTTGGACAGGCATCAGTCGTATTCCAGAATTGATTTTTTATTAATTACTAATGATCTTTTTTCTAGGGTGAAGAATGCTAAGATATTCCCAAGAAAATTGTCAGACCATAGTCCTGTATGGATGGAGTTATCTACTGAAGACGGGAATAGAAGGACTTGGAGATTGAATGAAAATTTATTTAGATTTGAGGGGAATATACAGAGATACAGAGATTATTTAAAGGAATTTTTTCTTTTTAATATGCATAAGGGTACTTCGATGCCAATGGTATGGGACGCCAGTAAAGCATATATGAGAGGGGTCTTGATTAATATGAATAATGTGTATAGACGCAAACAGATGCAGAAACGTAAAGAGTTGGAATTAGAAATTAAAACTAAGGAAAAGGCTCTTACCTTAAATCCATTGGATAATAATTTAAAGGCTTCTATTAGTTTGCTTAAGGAGCAATTTAATATGTTAATAGCTGATCAGATTACAATTAATTTGAAGTATATGAAACATAACACATTTTGCAATGTGAACAAACCTGGTAGGTGGTTGGCTTACCAACTACGAAAGAAACAGAAATCAAGGATTATAGAAAAAACAAAATTTAAAGGAAAGAAGTTTATCAACAAAATTTAATTAAAAGAAGTTTTTTAGATTTTTATTCAAAGTTATATGCCAGTGAAAACATACATGTTTTAGATATAGAAAAGTATTTACAGGAATCACATTTCCCTAAACTTACTTCTGATCAAAGAGATGAGATTAATGGTTTAATTACTTCTGATGAGATTATTTGGGCAATTAAACAATTGAAAGTTGGTAAGGCTCCAGGTACAGATGGATTAACAGCAATTTATTATAAAATGTTATCTGAAGAAATGATAGAACCATTGAAGGAACTTTTTAATAATATTCTGTTGGGAGCAGAGGTACCTCCATCGTGGAGAAGGGCTTTTATATCATTGATTCCAAAGGAAGATCAAGATTTGACCCAGCCCAAAAACTATAGGCCTATATCTCTTTTGAATACAGATTATAAAATTTTCTCAAAAATATTGGCAAATAGATTAATGCGAGTTTTGAAGCAGTTGGTTCATAGTGATCAATCTGGATTTATATCTGGAAGATATATGAAGTACAATGTTAGACAAATTGTTAATCTAATTGAGTATTTGGACAAGAACAATCAAATCTCTGCGGCTTTGATTTTCTTAGATGCTGAAAAAGCCTTTGATCAATTAGATTAGCAATTTTTATTCAGAGTAGTAGAGGAAATGAATTTTGGGGATAAATTTTTATTTGCTCTTAAGGCAATATATCAACAGCAATCTGCATAAATTATAGTTAATGGGGGTTTAACAGAAGCATTTAAAATTGAAAAGGGTACAAGACAGGGATATCCTTTATCCCCATTGTTATTTGTTTTAACTATGGAGATTTTACTTATTAAAATTCGGGAGTCACCTAGAATAAAGGGAATAAAAATAAATAAGAATGATTATAGGTTGAGAGCTTTTGCCGATGACTTGGTTGTGACATTATCTCAACTGACAGATTCGGTTAGGGATTTGGTTGAAATTTTAATTCAGTATGGGAAGGTTTCTGGTTTTAAGGTAAATAATAATAAGACTAAAATATTATCGAAAAATATGTCTATGAAGGAAAAGGATATTATAGTTAAACTAACAGGTTTTGAAATAGTGAGAAAGGTTAAATATTTAGGAATTTATTTAATATCCTCTAATGTTAAATTGTATAAAAATAATTATGAGCCATTATGGGTAAAAGTGCAAAAGGACTTAAATGATTGGAAAAAACTACAATTATCTTTGTTGAGGAGAATTTCGGCAGTTAAAATGAGTATACTTCCAAAGTTTTTTTTTTTATTTCAGATGATACCTATTTTGAAAAAAGATGCTAATTTGGAAGAATGGCAGAAGGGGATTAATAAATTTATTTGGGCAGGGAAAAAGCCGAGAGTTAAATTCAAAATTATGCAGGATACACGGGAAAGAGAAGGATTAAAGGCACCGAATTTAAAATTGTATTATGATGCAGTGGCTTTAACGTTGATTAGTGATTGGCTCAACTTAACAAATAAGAATATCCTTTCTCTTGAGGGGTGGGATTTATTATATGGATGGCAAGCATATTTAATTTATGATAAAAAAGTGGATCAGGTTTTTAAAACCCATATTTTGAGAAGTGCCTTGTTGCGTGTCTGGAAAAAGTATTACTATAGGTTAAATTATAAACTTCCAATTTGGGGAGTTCCAGGACACGTGATAGAGGGAGTATCTAGGGGAGTAAATTTGGATAAGATTTCTTATAAGGAATTACTGAGTTTGGTTGGGCAGCATTGGCAATTAAAGCCTTTTATTGAGTTGAAGCAAGAAAATATTGCATATTCTTGGTTTTATTACAATCAATTGTTATTGAGGTGGAATATAGATAAAAGATTGGTTTTACTTTAGAGGAGGCGAATTTGGTAAAACAGATTAAAGATCAAAGTCGATTTCATATAAAAAGAATTTATAATGCTTTAATAGAATTGGACTCTGAAACGGAGTTAGTTAAAGATGGTATGATCAAATGGGCGCAAAATATCCAAGAGCCAATTTTACTGGGTTAGAAATGTAAAATTTACTCAAGCACAAAATTTAAGAGGAAATTTTTATAAAATGTTTTATAAATGGCATTTGGATCCCCAAAAGTTGTCCCTCATGTATCCGAATTTACAGCCCAAATGTTGGAGATGTGGAAATTTAGATGCAACTTATTTTCATATTTGGTGGACTTGTAAAAATATTAAAGCTTTTGGGATTAAGATTTGGTGGAATATTCAAAAGATTTTGGGTATTATTGTAGATTTTGATGTTAAAGAAACTAATTTGATGTTGAACCTTATAACTGCTGCAAGATTATTGGTGGGGCAATATTGGAAGAAAAACTTATTGCCTACTTTGGAAGAATGGATACTTAAAATGTCTAATTTAGCAGAAATGGCGAAAATCTCCACCTATTTGAAGGATCATTCACAAGAAAGATATATTATGGTTTGGAGAAGATGGATTGATTATATTCAGAAGAAGTATGAAACTGAAAAGTATTATCTTGCTTTTGAATATATTTTAGATAATTATTAATAGTATTAATTGTATTATTATTGTTGTCTTAATTTGTTAATATTTGTTTTGAGAAGGAGTTAAAGTGTCAGAATCCAATTATATTTCATCTCTAGTTATCAATTATAAAAAACCCCATTTCTGCCTTCTATGGAGTCTGCCATACGATGAAGGGAAGGGGGTGAACAAAGGGGCTTTATGGCCCTCACTTCCTTCAGTACACTTCAAAGGAACTGGATGTGTGTATTGCCAAAAGAGCTAACCATAACAATGGGGCTATTAACTTTCATGTAGTTTTCTTTGAAGTTTCCATCCAGCCGGCAGTAAGGAAAAGGGGATGGGAGTGTAATGTCTGAGACTGTCACTGGAACAGGGGGGTGATTGAGTGGGGCTACTGGGGAACCCCTTAAAACCTTGAATGCGAGAGCTTGGACCCCAAGTCCTGTCTAGAACTCCTGCAACCATTTTCTCTTAATAAAGGATGCCTGTTGGAAGAATTATTCCAAGAGTTTTGTCTTCTTAAGATGCAAAGTGGGGTGGGTCCTTACATTAGACAGGACTTGCAAAATTAATCCACCTGGAAGGGAGACCCTTGCCGGGGGATTTTGCAAAAATTTACCATGTCAGACAATGGAGAAAGAAAGGGGGAAAACTCCCTGGAAAGAGAGCCACTGCCCCAACTGGAACCTTGCCAGATGTTGGGATCCAAGAGGTCAGATTCCTCAGGAGAAGAAGTAGTGGAGACACGGGACCACAAGCCTCGCTGGTCAATGGGTATTGGAAAGAAAAGTGACTGGGGAAAGGAATCAAGAAAGGTGACCCTGAGACAGGGGGCCAAACAACCAGAATGGAAGCAGGAGATGGAGAAATCCCTGCACGCAAGTGAAGAGGGAGAAAGCTGGGCACCGTAATCAGACTGGATCCTAGAGAAAGCTATTGACCTGATAAAGAGAACTCTCAGCTCCCTAGGAGAGGAGAATCCTGAGCTCTACGGCCACCTCAGCTCTTGGAGCTGCAAAGGGAGAGACACCAAGGGGGAAGTGGAACCTGCAACCCCGGGGACATCTGCTGATCTAGTAGTCCGCACCCCCTACCGAACCACAGATGGCGATCTGGATGGAAGACACTACCACCAACAACGGAGGCACCAATCCATTCCAAGACGTCCGCCGTTGGAAGTGAAATTCAAAGGGGAGCCAACACGCTTGGGGTTTTTCCTAACCCAAGTCCTCAGCTACATGGAGGAATACGGCGAGACATCCCCAGCGACAAAGCCTGCTCTAGATCATTCAATCTGCCCTGGACGGACCGGCTGCAGACTGGGTGGTGAACTTGCATGACTCCAATGCCCCAGAACTCAGCGACTTCAACCATTTCATGTCCTCTCTGAGAAGACGATTTGAAGACCCCTTGGCTGATCACAAAGCCCGTGAAAGGATAAAAACGATGAGGCAAGGAAAACGCCTAGTGGCTGAATATACACAAGAATTCCGGGCCATTGCCAACAAACTGAACTGGCCAGAAGACATCCTCCTTAGCCATTTCAAAGACGGACTAAATTATGATCTCTATGATGCTTGCCTGCCCCAAGGGGACCCACACCAACTTGAGGAATGGTACATCTTGGCAGAGGAAGCAGAGATCGACATATTGAAGAGACACCACCGAGGAAAACAGTGGAGCCGTTTCCCCGCCTGAGTTGACACACAAACCAGTGAAACCATCAGCTACAGCCAAGAAGCAAATGGGGTGTTTCAAGTGCGGAAGAGAAGGGTATCGAGCTGTAGAATGCCGCTCCAAAGCACCCCAGCACAACCCAGACAGATCCCCAATCAGCATATCTGGAAAGTCTTCAGCTAAGCCAAAAGAAACTGCCATGAGAATGATGGAAATTGCGGAACCCCCCACTTCTGCTCATCAGGGGGAAAGAACTCCAGCGTACACCACAGGGCTGGTGGACGCCTCAGATGACAGCTCAGAGGGCAAACCCCTGGTAAGTGGACACATCGCACCCATCCTCAAGACAGTGACTATATTAATTCCCCCCATGCCCGAAGCCGTGAAGGTGAAAGCCTTAATAGATTCTGGCTGCACCCACTGCCTCATTAGCCCGACACTAGTGGGGAATCTCGGCATTCCATCAAGGAGACTGGAACAACCAATCTCTTTTGGCCAGTTAGATGGATCCATAATGAGGGGGGGTGCCAGCTACCCTAGCCACTCTACCAATACACCTCTCCCTGGGTAAACATGAAGAGGACATAATGTTTGTGGTGACCCCAGGCATGGAATGCCCAATAATCCTAGGGATGGAATGGTTAAAAAATGGAACCCCTGGGTAAATTGGAGGACGACAGAAATCAAATTCCCGAAGGGGGACCCTATGGACTTAAAACTCCAAGGGGGGCTACCAGAATCAAGAATAGAAAAAGTATCCAGGGGAGAGGAAAAGGGACTAACAGAAATACTGGAATTGAATTCAAAAAAAGTTTAGAAACAGATGAATGGTTTCAGAAAAACAAAAATGTGTGCACAATGAGAGATGGGTTGCCTTGGGTAGGGGAAAAGTTATATATACCAACAACCCAAAGAATCACTTTCATGCAGCTTTGCCATGACACAAAATCAGCAGAGCATTTTGGATTTGTAAAAACTTTACACTTAATTAAAAGGCAATTTTGGTGGCCATCAATAACAAAGGACATAGAAAGTTATGTTGCCAGCTGCCCAACATGTGCATCTGCAAAGAGGTTGCAAGGGAAATCGCCAGGGCTATTACAACCAGTGGCAAATCCCTCAGCCCCCTGGAGGGAAATAGCCATGCATTTTATAGTGGAATTGCCAGAAAGCAATGGGAATACTGTTATCTGGACAGTCACGGACTTGTTTTCCAAACAGGTGCACTTTATCCCTTGTCAAAAGATTCCCACTGCAAAGGCCTTAGCAAAACTTTTCATCCAGCACATTTACAGATTGCACGGGGCACCCCAACGCATCATCTCTGATAGGGGAGTGCAATTTACGTCTTCATTTTGGAAGGAATTTTTATCCCTCTTAGGACCACTCAGGGACTGACATGTAGCCATCACCCTCAGACAGATGGACAAATGGAACGTTGTCATTCAGTACTTGCGCAATATTTGAGATGTTTTTTAAATTTCCAACAGAGTGATTGGACGGACTTACTCCCTTTTGCAGAAGTTGTCTACAATAATGCAGTCCACTCCAGCACAGGCTACACTCTTTTTCAAATAGCCAACAGTCAAAGTTTCAGCCCCAGGCCAGAATTAACCCCAAACGAATCAATGATCCCATCACTGAAAGAACGGATGGAAAAACTACAAAACACCTGGCCAATAGTTAGAAAAGCACTAGATGAAGCTAGGCAGGCATACAAAGCACAAGCCGATAAAAAAAGGATTGAGCCTACACCATTCATTATAGGTGAAATGGTGTACCTATCTACAAAATACCTAAAGTCTCTACAACCCTGTAAAAAACTTGGACCAAAATATATAGGGCCTTTTCCAATTAAAAGAATCATAAACCCAGTAACAGTAGAATTAGAATTACCCAAAAATCTCAGGCAAATACACCCAATTTTTCATTGCAGCTTGCTGAAAAGAGAGCGTCACTCACCTCTACGGCCAAAAATCCCCACTACCACCACCTCCAATCATGGTGGAGGGCGAACAACACTTTGAGATAAAGGAAGTCCTTGACTCTAGGAGATATCATGGAGCGACCCAGTACCTAATTGCCTGGAAACACCTCCTTTCCTCACAAAACGAGTGGGTCCATAAACGTCATGTCAGAGCCCCGAAGCTATTAAAGAAGTTTCACACAGAATACCCTAACAAGCCTGACTAACTTTTATACCTGTTTTGTTTTCTTTCAGGTGGATCTGTCATATTTTTGAGGGGCAGGATGTGAGAATCCAATTATATTTACTCTCTAGTTATCAATTATAAAAAACCCCATTTCTGCCTTTTATGGATTCTGTCATACGATGAAGCGAAGGGCATGAACAAAGGGGCTTTATGGCCCTCACTTCCTTCAGTACACTTCAAAGGAACTGGATGTGTGTATTGCCAAAAGAGCTAACCATAAGAATGGGGCTATTACCTTTCATGTAGTTTTCTTTGAAATCTCCATCCAGCCGGCAGTAAGGAAAAGGGGGTGATTGGGTGGGGCTACTGGGGAACCCCTTAAAACCTTGAATGGGAGTCCTGTCTGGAACACCTGCAACCATTTTCTCTTAATAAAGGATGCCTGTTGGAAGAATTATTCCAAGAGTTCTGTCTTCTTCAGATGCAAAGTGGGGTGGGTCCTTACATAAAGTATATTATGGTTTTGATTGATAGTTTAGTTGCTTTATGTTAGCTAGATTATGTTTGTTTATTTGTTACCCTTTAATCAGCTCTGGGAACTGGGGGAGGGGATGGGTGGGTTTATATTGTAATTTGTAAAACTTTTAATAAAAAAAAGAAATCAATCGGTTACAGCAGGCACCAGAAAGAAGGCCAGAAGGCCCAGTTGACAAGGCAGTTCCCTTCTCTCAATGTGCAGGGTGTGGAGGCCGACACAAACGTGTGGAATGCAGGTTCCGCACAGCAATGTGCCAGGTGTGTAGCAAACAAGGCCACATTGCCGCTGTCTGTCAGGGTCATTGGAAAGAAAGCCCATCAGAAATGTTTCCCCAGAAAGGTACTGGGTCCCCGGGGCAACACAGGGTTGGCTATTGCGCCAGTAGGAGGAGCATGCAAAGAACAGGTGCCCATCGCCTCTTAGGGAGAAGCTGCAGCTCAAAGTCAAGCTGCATGGAGTTCCATGCAACATGGAACTAGATACCG